CCCCACCACCACCCCGCAGCTGAGGACCGAACCCAGGGCCTTGCACTTGCTAGGCACGTGCTCGACCACTGAGCTAAATCCCCAACCCCGACATCTAATTCTTACTCAATGCCTGCTTTATAGAGCTGGTTTTACACATTTCCAGGAGCTGTAGCAACGTCCCAGAAGACTGACATACAAGCTGAGTGGCCAGGAACAAGTACTTCTTGTCCCTCCCTTGAGGGCTACCTTCCACATCTGTGTACTAACCTGACTCCCAGATGCACAGAACTACTAAATTCTGGTCAAAACAGGTACCACTGATGGACGAACAGATGAAGAAAATATTATCTAGCTATACACTGGAGTACATGACTTCAAAAACACATGGTATCTTCTGACAGGTGACAACACATACAGACTTGGAAGAGATTATGTCCAGTAAAAGAAGCCACTTACAAAAACGCAATTACTGTATGGTCCCTCTTAGTCAAAACTCTGGAAGCAAGGCGTGAATGGTGGTTGTAAAAACATGGGTGCTCAATGGTGTGGAATTTCTAGTTTCGAGGTGAAGAACTGGAGGCCACAACATAAAGATAAGAAAAGTTAGTGCTGTGAACTGTGAGGTGGTGGTGACAGGGGGACATTTTAGATCATATGTTTTATCCTAATTTCAAATGATTATTTTAATTTTATGTTGTGTTTGTGTGGTGTATGAACCGCATGTGTACATGGGTGCAGGTGCTCAAGGAGGCCAGAAGAGGGAGTCGGATCTCCTGGAGCTGGAGTTACAGGCACTCACTCCTGAGTGCCTGATGTGGGTGCTAGGAACTGAACTGAGGTTCTCTGCAAGAACAGCAAGCATCCTTACCTGATGAACCATCTTTCCAGCCCTAGTTTCAAAGAATTGAAAGCCTTGGTTTTATTGCAGGATATTTGTACACTGTGTGAAGATGTATTGCTGTTATTGGTTTAATAAAAAAAGCTGAACAACCAACAGCTAGGCAGGAGAGGTTAGGCGGAACTTCCAGGCAGAGCGAAGAACTCAAGGGATAGATCTAGGCGCCAGGATTTCACCAAGGAGACACAGAGGAGTTGGACATACAGATTGAAGGAGAGATTAAAAAAAACCATGTAACAGAGCATATATTAACAGAAACAGGTTAACTAAGTTATAAGAGCTAGTTAGGAACAAACCTAAACTCAGGCCAATAAGGCCAAGCTTTCATAATTAACAGTAAGTCTCTGTGTCATTATCTGAGGGCTGGTGGTCCAAAGAAAGTCTGACAAGAAAGTCCAACTACATGGTTCAATGGGTATTTGCAGACTTAAGAGAAACAAAAACCACAGCCTAAATGTGAAAGAAAAAAATGTGTGTGCATGTGTATGCAATTGTGTGTAAAAATACCTTTCACTGGACACAATGTCCTCAGGGTTCATACATGTTGTCACACATCAGAATGTTTTTGAAGTCACGTACTCCATTATATGGCCATATGAAGTCTGAGTCTGAACATCCATTTGACCTAAACTGAGATCATTGGGCTAGAGCACAAAGAACAAATAGACTGACTGTGTGCAGAGTATGGCGTTATGTGGCCCTTATATATAAGCCCTCACCCCATTCCATGACTTTAAAATGGGAATCTGAGCTGGGGATGTAGCTCAGTTGCTAGGGTACCTACATAGTATGCACAAAGCCCTGGATTTCATCTCTAGCTCAGTATAAACCAAGTATGGTGTTGCATGCCTCTAATCCCAACACTTGGGAGATGGAGGCAAGAGAATCAGTTCTAGGTCATCTTGTGCCATCTGAGGCCAACCTGAGATGAGGGGGATGGGGAGGGAGAGGGAAAGGTAGGGAAGGAAGAGAGAGGGAGGGGGGAGAGGAGGAGAAAAAGTCAATAGAAAACTAAGGAACAAGCTAAGCTTTCCCTCAAAGTCAGTTCTTTCCTTTGAGACCAGCTCCCTTCTTCAGTCAGTTTCTTTCCATTCCGTCAGTTGGATTCTAAAACCACAGACAGACCAGGAAACTTTATTCATCTTTCAGACCACATCCCATTGAGTGGGAGCTGGCTGGTCCTAACGTTCCCCCAAATGAGGAGCACTTCTGTCTACTGTGATTCCAAGAAACATATTGCAACAGAAGATGGGGAATAGCCTGGCATAGACCAGAGCAACCAGCAGCATCTATGCTAAGAAGCTGCCTGCATCCCTTCAAAGGACACCACCCGGACACATGCATGTAAACCCCTTACCCAGGCCTCCAATACATCACCCCATCCCAATCCAGGTTTGCCAAGGCAGTCTGGGTGGCACAGACAGGGGCAGCTGGTTCAGACCCCTGGATGCAGCAAGAAGCAGGCGTGACTCAATCACTGGGAGTCTGCTGCTTTCGGACACAAGCATCTCAGCTGTGCAAACATGGAGGGCTGAGTCACCCCATGGTCACCCCGGGCACCAGGGCCTCCCTCGTACTTGCCTTCGGACTCCTTGATCTTTTCCTCCACGAAGGACAGTCCTTTTGCAAGAAGCTGGTTCTGCCAAGAGAGAACAAAGAGCACAAGAGCTGGGAGACTCTGAAGCGGAATGGCCAGCCCTCCTCCGATTCCAACGTGCAGTGCAGACTTTGCGAGCCTGTTGGGCCAGTCAGGCCTTGACAATTAAGAGGCCCTTTGTCCTCCTGGAAGGGCAAGAACTCAGAGGAAGACTGTGAGACACCACGCAGCCAACGGGGAGTAAGCCAAACGCCGAACGCAGTCGCCACCCAATCTCTCAAACTAAGAGCCACAGAAGGGGCCCAGCCCGGTTCACTGTTGAGCCCAGTGTCCTCGAGGTCCTGGATGGCTTCGACCCACATGGAGAGTCTTGGCAAATGGGAAATTAAACAGAGGTAGATTTTTTTCTTCTTAAGAATAAGTTCAAAGGCAAGTGTAGTGGTGCATGCCTTTAATCCCAGAACTCAAGAGGCAGAAGCAGGTGGATCTCTGTGAGTTCAATGCTAGCCTGGTCTACGTTGTGAATTTTTTTCAGAACAGCCAGGGCGACAAAGGAAGACCCCCATCTCAAAAGAATAGATACATAAATAAATTCAGGGAGTTGGGAAGGTGGCTCAGTGGCTCTGCTCTTCCAAAGGACCCAGGTTTTAATCCCTGCTCCCACATCATGTGGCTCACAATTGCCTGGTACTCTGTAAGTACCTGCTCTCATTGTGCACATACTTACACACAGACACACAGACACAGACACACACACACACACACACACACACACACACTTAAAAGATAAATAAAAAATTTAAAAAGAATAAATGTGGGGCTTCTCACACCTGGGGTTTCTTACACTTAACACAGTAGAAAGAGATCATATGCAAACTCCTGGGTAGCAGTGAGCATGTCTCCATCAACAACAGGGTGTGCATGGGAGAGCTGTAGAGAGAGGCAGGCTACGTTCTTTCCTGTCACAACCAGCTTCTGTCTTCACTTACTAACGGCTGCAGGCCCAGGAGACAAAACTGCCCTTCCTGGTTCTGAAAACTAAGCTCTTTTCACTCTGGGCTGTGTCCCTAACACACAGAACCACCCCGAGGAAGTCACAGAAACTCTGAGATCACTGATGGCCTGGTACCTCTCCAGACCTCCCTCATTAGGTTATCAAAGACTTGTGCTCCATCCTGGGGGAAGTAGACAGCAAGGCGGTGTACAAACAACAAAACCCAACGCTCTCCTCACACCGCTTTTTATAAAACCCCAGTTCCTAATACAGTTATCTTCGTTAGAGTTTCTCCTGCTGTAATAAAACACCATGACCAAAGCAACTTGACAAGGAAAATGTTTATTTGGCTTACATATCCTGAGTCACAGTCCATTGAGGGACGTCAAGGCAGGAACTCAAACAGGGCAGGATCCTGGAGGCAGGAGCTGATGCAGAGGCCATGGCCATGAAGGGGTGCTGCCTACTGGCTTGCTCCTCATGGCTTGCTCAGCCTGCTTTTTTTTACAGAATCAAGGACCCCCCATCTCAGGAACAGCACTACCCACCATGGGCTGGGCCCTCCCTCATCAGTCACTAATTAAGAAAATGCCCAAAGTATAGCTTGCCTACAGTCCAATCTTATGCAGGCATTTTCTCAATTGAAGTTCCACCTTTTCAGATGACTCCAGTCTGTACCAAGTTGACACAAAAACTAGTCAGTGATGACAGCAGTGTGTGTAGTTGAGTTCGAAGAATGTGAGGACCACATAGGTTCAGGTCCTACTCAGTTACTTTACATATTTATCTAGTTTGTTAGTCAGTTAGTTATAGACAGGGTCTCCCTATGTAGCCCAGGCTGGTCTCAAACTTGTAACCTTCCTTCCTCTGCCTCCTGAGGACTGGGATAGCAGGTATGTGCTTCCAGCCCCTCCTAGCTTTCACTAGTTTTCTTCTTTTTTTTTCCTCACTAATTGTATTATTTTATTATGTTTTTCAATTGATTTAATATATTTTAATTTTTAAAATGTATGTTTATTATTTGTGATTATGTGCCTATGTCTGGGGGAGGGGTGGGGTGGGGAGTGTGAACACATGAGCACAGTTCTCACAAAGGCCAGAGACATCAGATCCCCTGGAGCTGGAGTTCCGTGTAGATGTGAGTCACCCAATGTGGGTGGTGGGAACTGAACTTGGGTTCTCTGCAGGAGCAGTATGCACTCTAAAAGTTTAATGGACACATAAAATAGTTGTATATTTGTGACCTTTAAATGCATGTATTATAATATGTAGTGAGGAGCTCACAGTAACTGGCATTATCTCAGATATTTAGCATTTCTTTGTGTTGGGAACATTTAAAATCCTCATTATCATGATACCATTGGCATACCATCATGTTGTTAGCAAAGCCATTGACTACAGACATATACCACTGTGTATCCTCAGCAGTTACTGATGGAGGTGGCAACAGCCTAGCGGCTTCCCGGGAGTGAGAAGTGAAGAAAGTCCATGACGAACAGGACTTTAACCGTCCTGAGAGATTCGGGGCGTCTGTGTGTAGGTATGCATGGGTCTGTGCGGGGTGCACTTGCCTCCATCTCCACTGTTTTTTTGTTTGTTTGTTTGTTTTTTGTTTTTTTTTTTTTGGATATAAGGTCTCTTGATGAAATTAAAGATCACTATTTTCAATGAGAGCATTTAGCCAGCAAGCCCCCAGCATCCTCCTGCCTCTGCCTTCCCAGCACTGGGGTTACAAGCACACAACCAGATCTGGCTTTCTCATAGGTGTTGGGGATTCAAACTCAGGTCCTCCTATTTGCGCAACAAACACATTACCCACTGAGCCGTCTCTCCAACCTCTGGACCAACAACACAGTTTATGAAAAGCACCATCACATGTCTATGACAGCTACACATGATCCAGATTCCAAAATCCCAAGGAGATTCAGCTATGACCCAATTTTAAAATGTAATTGGCCATTGTTTAATTTCAAGATGGCAGATGAACCTCAAATCTCAGTTCGAATTACACCATACTGGAACATGCCAATTTTGTTGAAGGGAGGAAAAAAAAAAAAAACTGTTCATCACAAAATACTATGACCTGAACAGGCAATTAAAACAGAGCCCCAACCTGTTCTCCAGCTCTGGTCCAGCAAATGCATCCTGCCTCTGGGTCTGAAAGCAAGAACACAGGCCGAAGTCAGCTGGTCTAGACGGCCTGGCAGCCAAGGTGGATGTGAAAGATTCCTCAAATGAGAGGAAAGGACAGTCAGTTACTCCACCTGAGCACCAATTCCACTGTGACCTTGGAGGATCTGTCCTAGTACTTCCTCAGAGTCAGTCCAGGTGAGGTTCTCAGAACGTCACCTCCGTGCTGCTCAAGACTCCTCATGTCAACACGGGTACCCCAGCCTTCCTCCAGAACCAATGGGCAAGCTCTTAGTCACCTTTCCAAGGCACATATTCGAGTGCAACCAAGACTCCTTCCAGAAGGGGGTTATATCATCTTGTTCCATCTCTCTAATTAGCTACACTAAGGGAAGCAGCAGCAAATGAGGATGATAAAGGACGTTAATAAAAATCAGTCCAGTTATAACATGAATTAATAAATACTTCCAGGGCTAGGGACATATGTCAGTGGGGGAGAGGTACTTGCTAGGCGAGCATGAGCACCTGAGTTCAAATCCCCAGCGCTGTAGAGGGTGAGGGCAGGAGGCTCTCCCTGAGGTTTGTAGTCTGCCCATCTAGTTCCAGGTTTAGTGAGAGATTCAGCCACAAAGGATTAAGGTGGAGAGTGAGAGCCAGGACATCTGGCATCCTCTGACTTCCACATGTACACAGACACATAAAGATACTCATCCACAAACACTCGGATCTAACACACACACACACACACACACACACACACACACACACACACACACACACACACACTAAATGTATGCATTAGGCTTTCAGACCCTGGAGGACAAGGACCACTTCTAACTTTAGTACTCCACTCCCAGCACAACGCTGGGTAGAGCTGGTGCTTGGAAAAGCTTTGTTGAACTTAATCCACTGCCTATTTTGGTGACAAGAATGATTTTGTATTTTTAAGGAGTCAAGATAAGAAACAGAATGTTTTTAAGGGGCTAGGGGAGGTGACATAGGGTCCCTAAATCTGTCACCATTTTCTTCATCTGGTAAAAATTCCTTTGCCCAAATCAGAAGGAATAAATTCCAGCAGCTGGCCCAGAGCCTCCTTCCTGGCCCTTGGTCTTCTCCCTTCGCGGAGATACTGGAAGGAAAAATATGTGTTTCCAAGGAAAGGGAGTTATTTCTGGCCTAGGGGGGAAATGACACAGAAAACATTCTTTCGAAGTCTCTCATGATACACAGCACGGAAATTCTGTAGCTTGGATCAAAACAAACAAAAGCATAGGGTCTGCAGGAGCCTTTCGGGTCACCGACTGCTTCTCCCTGCTTGGAGCCTGCGGTCGCCAGTCTGCTCACACACAGATTTGCTGATATTTAAGGGGCTCCATTTTCCAAGAAGCTAAAACCCCCTTGAAAAGCATGCCACCAACGCTTTGATCTTCCCGTAACTGAGGTTAGGTTAGAGTTTCCTCCCCCAGATTCCAACCCACAGGAATGCAGCTCGGATTCCACTAGGAATCCTTCATTCAGTGCCTGCTGCATCCTGCAGGATTTTCAGGGGCAGCCCAGCACCCAGTTTCCCTTCTGTGGAGAACTCCTGCCTTGACCCCCTTCTCAGTCACACACCAACTTGACCACAGCCATTCTCTCTGTTCAGCCACCAGGGCTGCTCCTGTCCCCACTCCCCTCCTGGGGCCCCACTGATCAAGAGTCTTCCTCTAGTCAACCTGTAGTCACACACCTGCACTCCTGTGGATCCTGCATCCCTCAGGGCCTAGCATTGGAAGGGCGCTACGGTGGGAGCTCAGTGCTCTGCAGTTGCCACCTCTGGGAGTGTGTGTGTGTGTGTGTGTGTGTGTGTGTGTGTGTGTGTGTGTATGTGTGTGTGTGTGTTATGAGGTATGGGGTGTGTGTGTATGTGTGTGTGTTGTGAGGTATGGTGTGTGTGTGTGTGTGTGTTGTGAGGTGTGGTGTGTGTATGTGTATGTATGGGTCTGTGCGGGGTGTCCTTGCCTCCATTTCCACTGGTTTTTTTTTTTTTTTTTGGATACAAGGTCTCTTGATGAAACTAAA